CCCTGGATTCCCCATGCTACTGCCATCAAAATTTAGTTTGATAAACCCAGGAGGTGGAGGGTTCCACATGAGATTCAAATTTCATTGATAAAATAGCAGTACATGAAAGAAACAAAGAACCTGAGCGCTGTTAATGTCAGGATAAGAAGCATGCATACTTACCTAGATGCGTGGTAATGTGAGAATTACAATCTTCACCTACCAAGTGAAGACAAGTGAGGAGGCAAACCACTGCAAATACAAGGACAAGCAGAATGATAGAAGAAAAACTATCCTGGGAGTACAACCCTGACACAACTCAGCTCTCTCCACCCATCTATTAGTCAAATGATCTGGCTAAAAGCAGTTCCTCTTATGTGATAGATAACATATATGTTAGATAATATTAACAAAAATCTATTTAAAACTTTATTCATTGTATAAAGGTCCTAAACTTGTTTTTATTGTCTTATAAATGAAACTTGGTTGAAAGAACTTGCTGCCTATACATCATTAGATTGTACAGGCTGTTTTAAATACATATTCTGAAGCCAAATCTGTTTTAGATTTATACTTTTACCATTGAAGCAAGAGTTATCCTCACTTTGAGGGAAGGAAGAAATCAGTGGTTCCCAAAAAAGTGAGGCGGTAGAATATGTGGTGGCAAAAGCAGAAAGGGAACAGCAGTAACTGATGATATTTTTATAAAGACGCTTGGCCTCCTTACAGTTTATCGATATAAATATGGTCTAGACTTAACAGTCTAGTGAAAACTCCATTAAGATAACTATGAGAAAGCATAATGAAACACTGTGAATCAACATAGCTAAAATTCTTGCCAAAAAAAAGAAAAATAAAAGACTTAAACTCCACAACCACAAGCAATGCACTAACCTGCCTCTTAAGAAGAAAGTTAATTCCAAAAGCCAAATCCCCAATAGGCCACTTCCCTAGAGTTTCAGAGTAAGTAAATCTCAGTGTTTCCGACAACGTTGAAATTGTCTCCAACCATGTTGCCGGAGCTTGAATAGGTCTACGTGAAACTTGATTAGTTCTAGATGGAGTAGGCCTGGGCATACCACTACCACTCTGTTCATCGTCATCCTGAGACAGAGGGGATTGCAATCTCCGGTTTAATGTGTAATACAAAAGAGCAGCTGCACCAGCTGCAGTAGCCATTGTTGCCGTTGCCATAAATTTTCATCCAAAAGCACCTATACGAAAAAAAAAAACAGTGGATTAAAGTTCGGCAAATTGAACTAAATATGTCAGTTATTCTTCACTTCAGCTATTACGCTATATGCCCAAATAAAAAAAAAACTAATAATTCCTTTATCGGCTTGAATCAAAGTCATTCTATGTGTAGTGCCAAAAGTCACTGGTTGTAATCGAATCTTCACTGAAAGAAATACCCAATTTCCTCCTGCGGAACGATTTACAGTATTATAATCATTATTTTTTTCTTCTGGCTAGATTCCTGCGTCATCGGAAAGATAGAGAGAACGCTGAACTAGAAGTATCTTTACAAGTAAATATTAACAAAAAATCGTCAAACTTTCCTATTTGTCGAGCAGCCAAAGACGAATGATCGGAGAATGAACAAATTTAAAAAAAAAATACAATGATAGAAGAGCAGAAACAATATTTAGACATAGCTGAGAGAGCGATAAACTGAACAGCTTACTTACCTGAAATCCTCGAATTTCTGAAGAAAATCGGTCTCCTTTTCCTTGTGGGGTATAAAGGAATTTCCTGATTTCTTGGATTTTCAACTTCAACGGATTGGGTTTACTTCATAAAGAAGGAGAAGAAGTTCAGTTATTTCTGTCCAACCGACGCGTTTTATGTTCAGACTTCAGAGACCAACTTGAGAGAAACGCTAATTATAAATTTATTACATGAAAAGACACAAATACCCTCAATGTCAATCCCACTCGCGAGAACATGGACCGCGGGTCTGCGGCACCGCGCGGGAGGAAAGGAAACCGACGAGAAAAACCCAGTGAGGCAGTGAGGGTTGAGAGAGAGAGAGAGAAGGGTTGCCGGAAAGAAGGAAACGTGCAAGTATTTTACATTGACACATATCCATCGTATATATATATAAGAATTGAGATCTGCTATTCGCGCCTTACAGGTACATTCGTGCATTGGGAACATCTACAGTAAATAATAACAGAAGTACGTAAGGAAACCGACGAGAAAAACCCAGTGAGGGTTGAGAGAGAGAGAAAGAGAAAAGGGTTGCCCGAAGAAGTAAACGTGCAAGTATTTTACATTGATACATATCCATCATATATATATATATATATAAGAATTGAGATCTGCTATTTGCGCCTTACAGGTACATTCGTGCATTGGGAACATCTATAGTAAATAATAACAGAAGTATGTAAGATGTTCCTAATGCATGGTGGGATGTTTTTGTGAGATTAATGTGAGGTGTCCTAAATTTAGGCTGTATTGTATAAATACATACAAAATAATACAAAATATAATATTTTGAGTTCTACATATTTGCATTTATACTCCTAAATGGAGCCGATAGTGTAAATAATTTTGGTGCAAATTATGATTTATTTATATTTCAAAATTTATCTTATTTTGTTTTATTGTTATATAAATTAAGTAAAATAAGACCTAGAGCATAATAAAATAAAATCCAAAACAAAATTAAACCAAAATTTGCATTCCCATGCATTTACACTAGTTCAAATAAGATTGCTCTGCAACCAAATATAGTCTTAAGGATTCGATTTGTCCCCAAGAGTAAGGTTTTAGAATGGTCCATCCTAATTCTAATGCATGAGGCGAGGTGCATAAACTTTGTCTTAAGGCTTAAGTCTTACAACTTTAATGTGAAGTTTAAACCTCTATAAAAACGAGGCATAAGTCTCAAGCATTAAGACACTAGTTTAGTTTTGTCAGTGTTTTTCTTTTTTTTTTGGCTTTTTTTCTAAAGTTCTTTGTTTGAATATAGTAAAGTTGTTTTGGAACCTTTAAAAATTTATTATTTTATAATTATATCCTTACAAAAATTTAATTATTATTATTATTATTATTATCATTATCATTACACCAAGTTTGGAAGTGCTTAAAAAGTAGTGTTTATTCAAATAAACACTTATTTGAGAATTGAGAAGTCCAAATTTTGGTCTTGGCTCGTCATATAATTTTTAAAAGGCCTATATTACCCCCTGTTCCAAATAAATGCCTTTTCATAAAATGCTCATGGGCGCTTATTAGAATAAGCACTCCCAAACTCCACCTAAATTCTATTATATAAATATAATGTAATCTATGATATGAATTATATTTTGTATGCAATACACTATATTGCATTATATTATATTATTTTAAGACAATTTTCAATTGACCACTCTATACCAATGGACCGCCACTCTGTACTAAAGGAATAGTAATACATTGATACTTAGGCCCTCCCCCCTCCTAACTTTATTTTTTCAGCAAAAATCCCTCTAAACTTATGATTCTGATGTTTTGCCCCTGCTCTTAGCATTTTGTTAGTTAAATTCATAAAGTATTCCATTAAATATTTTTAAAACTATGCTATTTTACAAAATCATTTTGTCATTTTTTGGTAAAACTGGGATTTGGTCCACACATAATGTTTCTCACTCCGATCTCACAGTACATCCCACAGTGTATTAAAAATATCTCCCATGAATAATAACATACAAACTGGGGAGATGTTCCAGATGTATAGCTGGGACATACTGTGAGATCCATGCGAGGAGCAGATTCAAGCTCCTTTTTGGTTTAGATTTTTCTAAAATCCTAACTTCATATGATCCTCTCAACTTTATTTTAACAAGGTTCATTTTGAGAATGGGTTGAGAATAGGTGATTCATCAGCCTTTGAGAATGATCTATGCTTTAAAATGGTTACTTTCATCACTTTAATATTTATTTATGTCAAGTCATAGAATATTGAATAGACAATTCAGTGCCTTTACTTTTACCATCAACCCTTAAGAGGAGAAAATGCTGCAATTTAGAAGTTTGGGGGGTCTTTGCCTGAAAAGAAACTTTGAGGGGTTTTTGCCCTTTTTGATTTGTTTGCCCCCTTTTCTCTGGCTTGATAGGTGGTTTATCAATGCAGATTTTGGAAGAAACAATGCCAACTCAGCATTGCAGATGCATTGAGCGAAAAAACGCCTGAAAAGTTATTTGGTTGAACTGTTTATCTGATAAATGGCTCTCTTGAAAATCATGTGAACTGTTTATTAAAAAAATACCAATTTTGACGTTTTTCATTTTTAATACCGATTTTCACTGTTTGGCTTATATGGCACCTAATGGTGCTGAGGTGTGAAAAAATCATACAAAACATTTAAAGCAGATTTTGTCTCGTTTTTCAAGACAAAATCGTACAAAACACCATCGATACAAAACGTTTATCTTATAAACACCATCGATACCAAACCTCTATATGGCAGTATAATTTTCCCTTTTCTTTCCTTGATTCAACTTTTGATTAGCGTTCAACGACATGTTCTTTTGTTTTTATTTATTTCTGAGCTTACCATATATATTAGCAAAAAACACACACACACTTACTTACACATTCTTGCATCTTGCCTTTAGTAAAACCAAGTTAGTTTTGTTCAAAAAACAATACTTGCTTTTGGAAACTTAAAAAAAAAACCTTATAGTCATGGAACATGATATTAAATAACGAGTCCGCGATGGGTGCACTGGATGCGTGAACCCGCCAATAGGAGGCGTGCATGTTGACACCTTTGCACCAACCTTACATTGGGTTTTTTTTTTTTTTTTTAAATTGGATTTTAAAAATTATGTCACATGGTGCCAAGTGTATGGAATTTGACAAATGATAAAAGTTAAGGTAGAACTAGTCAATTGTAAGAAACAGTAGGAATATTTTAAGACAATACTGAAACAGTAAGGGTATAGTTAGTTAATTTCCTAAACCTTAGGGGTATTTAAGAAATTTGCCCTTAACTATATTGCTGTCCAATGACAAAATGCTGGTTCAGACGAAATTGTATGAACCAAGTTAGGAAGAGACCATCAATGAAACCAGTAAATTCAAAGTACTCTAGAGATCAAACATTTAAGTAAATGATCAAGTAACAATAGAACTGCTGAATTACTGACTACATGCTAAGCTTGTCGATTCTTCTATTCTGTACTCGGTTGCTTTCCTGCGAGGATCTTCATCTTTAGCGGTACTGAAAAGTTAAAAATAAAGAAAAAAAATTAGACAAGCCTTGAAAATCCACAACGGCACAACGCTAACAGGCTACAGTATATCAAAAAAGATTTCCTCCCCTGCAGGCATCTAAATATTTTTGTTAGATGCCCTCCCTTTTTCAAAGGTAAACAGATTGATCATTAACCGGTTAAGATAACCTGTCCAAAGCAGACAGACTAATTTGCCATATGTCTACTGTATAGTCTAGTATAAAAAACCATTAACCTGCAATATATTGGATTAAATTGTCTACCAAGTACCAAAGCAGCCTTTGAAGCATATTAAAGCGTGGCTATCTTTATCCATTTATTTATTTTTTACTGTTATACACTACGCCCTACAAAGTTGAGATGTGTGGTGCTAGAAAATGTTGATGCAGTAAAGCAAGGAACCCCTGTATTAGTGTTGCTGTCACTACAAAATCATGGCAAGTCAAAATGGCATATTTAAATGGTCAATTTCTTATAGAATCAACATCTTTCATGTGACTAGCAGCAAAGCAAACAGTTGTTTCCTTGTAAATAACAGTTTATTAAATAAAAAAGGGAATGGAGCAAAATAATCAGTCAAAACATCAAGGAGTGAAAAGAAAGTTAATTGCCAGGCCCCTTGTACAAATTTACTTCTAAAGGTCCATCCTCAACCACATCACCCACCAAACCATTAGTCTAGAAGAAAAGTTAGGGACCTAATAGAATGAGACGATTTCCATGGGATGTCAAAAGAAAAAAAAAATTGAATTGGGTTGATCCTTGTAGTGCGCTGTCATTAGGAAATTCAAACTCATGAATTATATATTGGATGGTTTATGATGTCTTAAAAAGGATGGATATCAAAAGGATGTTCAGACATCAATCAGCTGTTAACTAGATTGTATTGTTGGCTTGCCAGAATATCTAGATTTAACTAGATTGAATGATGAAAATTGGTGTTTTAATTCAATCCCATACGTAGAAATTTGCAAGTTGTCTCAGTTTTCCCTCATACATTGTATTGATGGCTTGCCAGAATATAAAAAAATAAAATAATAACCACAACAACCACAAATAATACAAATCAAATCCTTGTTAACTTTTCAGAGATGATAAGTGATCAAAAGACAAAAAAGAATTAGACATGATAAAAAAACCAACCTTAATAAAGCATAAAAACTAACCTTAATGAAGCCAATCTCCTTAGCATTGCTGCGGAAGCACTGTCTACAACACATTAGCCCATATTTCCTTATCAATCCATGGGGATTTCCACAAACACGGCTGATAAAACAAAAAAAAGTAGTTGATCACTAGGAGAGAGAGAGAGAGAGATTGATTAGGCATGCAGCCTCCCAAAGGCGACTTCATATGTGCAGCAAAGACAGAGAAATGGTCTTTATTGGGATTTGGGAGAAACTGGCCTGCACATCAGCTGTCCGGCTCTATGAAAGAAACATCTCATATGAGTGTGCACAATGCACCCACGGCACAATAGGGTACATCTTGAAATAATGATGCATGAGTTAAAGTGAAGCAATACGTCTAACATCAATTATAAAATTCTAATTAATGGAATGGATGCAGAAAGGTAGGCATACTAGAAAATGGAAAACAGATGCGACCCTTATTTCTCTCACTTACAGCTTTCTAAAATGAAGAGATAAATCAGCAGGAGATCTGTATAAAGAAGATCAAATTACTACACCCTTAAATAGGGTAACTAGTCAGCTGATTCAAGCCCCCAGATATAATGAGAAAAATTTAGGGGAAGGGATTATCTAATATGATGTGATAAAATAATTTCTCATGACCAACCTGTAACGCTGTGGAAATGGTACCTAGATTTTTACGGGAGAACACGATCATTTCAAAAGTCAATAAAATTTGCCAATATTCTTTGATCTACAGTTGGACACTGTAAACTCCTTCGAGAATCAGTATATACAGAGTAGATAACACAATGGACCATTGCGAATAGAAAAAAAAAGTAAAGAAAGGAGATAGCAATAATTAATTTCAACATATCGACTGGCTAAACAAGAGAAAAGAGAAGTTTGGTTTTTAACATATCGATAGGTAAAACAATTGAAACAAAATCATCTCACCAGGCACGGGATCCCGGGCCGTAGTTCTTCGGATGAGAATTCCATACGTTCGAATGCCCCATTTTTTCGGAAAGCCCTAACTTCAGAGGTAAAGCACCGCAGAGATGGACAGAGACAAGGAGAGTTTAGCTAGCACAATGCGCCTCGAAAAACCCTAATTGCACGAGCAGAGCCCTTTGAAGGCTTAAGCGAGATGATATTTGAAATGTCCAAAATACCCCTATAAATTATAAAGTGCAAAACCACGTTTTCTATTTCAGTTTCCTCAAAATACCCTTGTTTTCTTTTGCAATTGAAAATGACGCAGTGACGCAGTACCCACGCACATATTTGCTTTCCCGCTCTCCACTTCGAGTTCTTTCTTCAATTCTTCTCTTGTATCGAATTTCAGACTTTCAGGTACTTCGCTCCTCTATCTTGATGTCGCGTTTTTATAAATTGAATCTTTTCATTATATCATTTGGTTGATAATAGAGAGTCCAAAAACATTCCGATTGTGCTAAAATAGAGTTTCTTTAACTTGCACTATTTATCAAATTTGTTAGTTTGATCTTTTTTTAACATTACAAATTCAATCCTCTCTCCCCCTCTCCCTCTCTCCCTCCCGGCATTGTTCAATCAGGTATAGTTCAGAACCGCGTAATACATTAATTTATTTGATTTTATGCTTTAGGAATTTCTGGAAGTATGAATTTGTAGGGAGCGGTATTGGTTTCGACTAATTTCTGCTAGATTCTATACTTCTAAATACTTGCGCATTTGAGGCATTACCTGATGTAGGTTAGTCTTTAATTTTCCCTTTCCATTTCAATTCAAATATTATGAAATTTGCAATATGGGGAATAGTTTTATGATGCCAAATCCTAAATTCTACTTTTTTCCTATGGGTAAGTAAGCAAAGAATTCTTTGACTGATCAAAAAGGTTATACTTTCCAATCTGTGACATGTGGTAGCTTGGGTGTCTTGATTGACAAGATTCCAGAGCTTCTGAGAATGAGAATAATGAGGATATGAAATAATCACTTTCCGGGAGGACAAAAAGAAGCTGAAGTATCAGCAAATAAAGAACTTTTATTTTAGGGACTTACAGAATACTTTTTGTTTCTCAAACCTTCTACACATCTTAATTGGTCTCTCTATATATGATGTTTTAGATCATAATAGTAGTTTGTTTTTGCTAATAATTTAATTACTAATATCTTTATCCAACAATTAATACTATTACTTGTTCTCTCTTGGTAGTTTACCTTTGGGATACACAACAGAAATGAAGAAACTACCACTTGCAGTGCAAAATATGTTCGGCACTGAGAAACAATTATGTAGAAAAGAGGGGCTAGTAAAGCTTTTAAGATGGCATTTTGGGTATTCGGAATTCAGAGGGAAGCAGCTTGAAGCCATTGAAGCAGTTTTGTCAGGTTTTATTAACTATCTTTTCATGAAATGTTAACTGATGCCAGTATATTCAGGGTTGTCCAATGTCCCAATTGATTCCAGCTTGCACAAAATGATGCTTGAATCCAAAAAAAAAAGTTCTAGCTGTTAAATGGATTTATTTAGTTAGCAGGTACTTTTTATATGTTTCTTATATTCATGACAGGTTTTCCTGAGAAACCTGGGAAGGATGAAGCAATTCTCCCCTGTGGCAATGCATATTGTAAACATTCTGGTTGTGCAGTAAGGGGATCTCTCATGGGTATCATTTGCTATATAGGATATATGACATCTCTATAAAAAATATCATAATAAGTGATGGTACTACAGTGGTCCAAGTTATATGTTTTTTTGTGTACCAATTGCACCTTTTGTGAACACCCAAAGGTTAACAGAAGCTCTGGAATCTTGTCAATCAAGACACCCAAGCTACCACAGAGGGGATCCTATGCCATACCATAGTTGTGGCATACTATGGCATAGGATCCCCTCTGGGATCTTTTTGGCGATAGTCTTGACTCTTGAGACATGCAGGTCAAATGAAAAATGCACTGAGAAAGGGCAACTTTCTCCATCTCATTTTCTTTTTTCCTTATTTGAGCAGTGATCCTTTCCAGTTTGCATTGTACTCAACATGGAGTTTGTTTGTAACAAGCACTAGGGTTTACTGATTAAATTAACACTTTTCACAGGAAGAGATTGCTTTTGTCTTATGCCAACTGGAGGAGGAAAATCAATGTGCTACCAGATCCCTGCATTAGCAAAAACAGGAATTGTGCTTGTTGTTTGCCCTTTAATAGGTGAATGCTCTTCATTTTAGTTCAACTCTTATGTCTTAAACTTTTGTGACATACAACTAGGTAGGGTTGCTTGCTTGAATGCGATTCTGACCATTTTAATTGGCTTTATGGATTCTCTCTCAGCATTGATGGTAAGGATTCTGTACCACTTAGATAATGCTATTCTACTTTCTAGAACTCTGAGATTTGGTATAGAAAGTTTCGGTGTATTCTTGAATAGGAAAACCAAGTGATGGCATTAAAGGAGAAAGGGATTCATGCAGAATATCTCTCCTCAACCCAGGTGTCGCATACCAGAGAAAAGGTGAGTATTGGAGTCGTTATATTTTCTTATGGTGTGTTAGCATGGTAGAAATGAAAATGAACTGCACAAGATGAATATTTGATATAAATTTTGAATACTTCTCTCTAGAAGTGTACAGAGATTTTGAGGGAGTTAAGATCTCAGGGGCTTAGGGTGAATACAAGGGATTTTTGTTATAGAGATCTTACTTCTTTTGAAGAAAAGTAGAATTTATTTTGGTTTGATTTGAAGAGAGAAATTGAGATTGGCAAAGAACAAGAGAAAAACAAAGCTAGGAGAAAATTAAGGGCTTCTTGGGGGGTGAGCCTTTGTGGGCTAGCCTTGGTTGTCTATATTTTTGGGTGTGGAGCTGTATATCTGTTTCTCTTATTATTTCCACTTGTACAATTGGTACTTTTGTAAAAGCTTGAGGATCTTTTCGTTTTGTGAGATCAAAGAGACAATTCAAACAAGGAGCCTAGAGGTAAATATTCAGTTAGATCATTTTTTATAATGCTCAATGGGGTCAGTGACTCGACTAACTCAGGTGGTATTTTGGGTAGGTGTTATATCATTCCCATGTTTGAACAACAAATTTAATTCACCTGAATTTATTAGGAATTAATTTGCAAAGCAATGCAGACCAAGAGAGTTAAATCTTTTATCTACTTGCTAGAATTAAGGACATAGTTTTTCCTTATCATGAAATCTAATGTCCACAATTATGGTTGACAACCCAATATGGATGAAAAAGGCATTGCCAGAGATTAGTGACTCTGTTTCTGTTTTGGTGCTCAAAGTGGATATTGGGAATCAGATCAGATCTGAAAGGATGCTTAATGTGAAATTGTGAAGGGGGGAGGGACTATGCAAAAGGTATCTGGGGTTTACATATTAAGCACGCGTGGGAGTTGTATGAAAAATGAATTCTATGAAGTAAGAGAAGGCAGATAGCTATCACTTGCATAGAAAAGTGTGCATGCATACTTCTGATGGAAAATTTGTAAGTCACAGGAGGTTGGGTACTGTAATTGGATTTCTGATCTCTCATCTTGGTTGAACCTTAATAACTTATCTCTAGTTTGAGGATTTACAATGAGTCTCCCACAAGAATTTTGAACAAGCTTAGACTTATTGGATAAGAATATGTAGCTCTGTGGATTTTGTATTGCCTCCTTTCAAGAGAAATTTCATATTGGAGTGGGCTCTCAACATTCTTCTCTCATCTAATTTCTAATTTTCTTTTAATAAAAGTTTACACTTTACCATAAAATATGAACATAAAGTTGGCTAACAAGTGCATTTTACATGAGGTCTCTGAAGAGGATGTTCATCATTTTGTTCTTCAATTTAAGATGTAAATAAGTTTTCTTCTTCTTTTTTATTTTTTATTTTGGTTTTTTCTCCCTTCATTTTTTGACATTGATTGGGGTATCATGGATCAAGTTTTTGTGCTGTTGCAATCTTGGTTGGCTATTCAATGTGATACAAAGGGCCAAGTTCTTCATAGAATAGTCTTTTGCCATCTTGTGGGATCAGTGGAAGGAAAGGAAATCCTTCTATGATGATGTGTCAAGGCCTATTCACATTATTTGGAAGGATATTAATTTTTTTCTTCATTATGGGACGTTGTAAGAATGACTTTGAGAAGAATTAGGATGATATAGTGAGACTATGATGGTATGTTGTGTATTTTTCATATTTTTTTTGTGAAGTACACCATGAGAAGTGGAAGATCCGCATATTATTCATATCTTGATTATGAATATAGTAAACAAGTAAATTAACAGTATTTTATAATGAAACTTTGCTATCAATTGACTATATCTTAATTAATTATTTCCTTTTCAAAAAAAATACTATCCATTAAAAATGATCAATCGAGCAAATTAAACCCAAGAAGCGAAAGAAGTGGAAGACCCATATATTTTGCATATAATATTCTTGAAAATTGATCTTGAGTTAGCAAAGTTATCTTGCAAAACACAATGAATCTAATTTATGGAAGAATTTTCTATTAATTGAATCTCATTTACTGGATAAAAAGCCTTCAAATTGCATACTTTGAATTGAGTGCAAGTTGAATTGAACTGTGTTAAGACCTGCCATTACTCCTTGTTGGTGAATGGAACCATGGTGGATTTCTTCTCGGCCTTAAGAGGGATTAGGCAAGGAGATCCTCTATCTCCTTTTTCAATTCACTTTAATAGCTGAGGTCCTTGGACTTATTCCTAGGGCTGATTCACAAGAGTGGTTGAGGGGCTAGAAGATTGGTCGGGACAGGGTTCTAGTTACACACCTGCAATTTGCATATGATACTTTGCTTTTTTGTGAAGGAGGAAATAGAAACTAGGTTAGGAATCTCTAGTTGATTGTACAACTTTTTGAGCTAATTTCCAACCTTAAGGTGAATTTTGACAAAAGTTGTATTGTGGGTATTAACATGGAAGAGGGGGAGATGTTGGAGTGTGGCAACATCTTGGGCTATGAGGTGTCTCGTTGGCCACTAAAGTATTTAGGGCTTCATTTGGGAGATAATTAAAAAAAGAGCATCTTTTGGGATCCTATAGTTGAAAGATTTGTCAAGAAACTCGCATCTTGGAAGAAAAGCTATCCATCATTAGAAGGAAGGATCACATTGATAAGAGCCACATTAGCCAATTTACCTGTGTATTTTGTTTGTTTTTAGTGAGTGTGAATAGAAAACTAGAAAAGCTTATATAAGGGATTTTTTGTAGGATCCAGGGGAGGAGAAAAAGGACCATAGAGTTAGCTGGGAAATGGTAAGAAGAAGCAAGAAGTTTGGTGGATTAGGTCTAGACAATTTACAAAAGAGGAATGTGGCTTTGTTGGGATAGTGGCTTTGGAGGCTACTTGTGGATAAGGACAAGCTTTGGGCTAAGGTAGTGATTGACATTCATGGAATTGCAATTGACAGTTGGGATGCTAGAATTCAGACTAGGGCTACCAAAGCCTCTCCTTGGAAGGCCATCCATGTTTTACTCCCATCTTTCCTTCCTTTTGTCAGGTGTGATCTTTGTTTTGGTAACCTTATAGAATTTTGAACTAATTTGGGTGGGTAATCTCTCTTTAAAGATAAGCTCCCTTCTATCTTTGCCTTGTTGAGATATAAAGATAACATTGCGTCCTCTTTCCTAGTTCCTTCAAACTCAAGAATTGGTTTTGATTGGGATTGGATGCGAAGGGGAGTGAGGGGTTCGGAAATTGATGATGTTATGGATTTGCTTCATATCCTTAATGGGTTTACTTAGATTCTTCGAAACCTGGCAGTCGTATTTGGACCCTTTCTTCTTCTGGTGTCTTTTCATGTGCTTCTTTCTTCAAGGCCCTTATTCAACCTTTTGATTCATTGGGGATACCATTTCCATTGAAGGAGGTTTGGGGAGATCCTATCCCTCCAAGAGTGGGAGGTTTTTGTCGGGAGGTCTTTTTGGAAAGAATTAATACTTGCGATTTACTCCAAAGTAAAAGATGTAATTGGTGCTTATCCCCACACTGGTGTGTTATGTGTAAGGCTAAGGGGGAAGCTTGCTTTCATTTATTAATCTCCTGCCTTTTATAGCTTTTATTTGAGAGTGTTTTTTCCCATTGTTTGGGTGTAGGTGGTCTCCTCTGTCTAATGTGCAAAGCTTATTTGCTTTTAATTTCTTGAGGTGGACAAAGAAAAGGGGCACACTTTATGGAGATGTGTTAGGGCAGCTGTGAGCTGGACTATATGGGAAGAAAGAAATGCAAGACTATTTTTAGACAAGGAAAGAAGAAGAGAAGCTGTCATCGAAACCATTATGGTGAGAATGGTTCATTGGGTAAAATCTATGGAAATGTTTGCTGATTTCTCAACAGGTGATATCATGAATAATTGGAAGGAGGTGGCTAGTTTTGATTGCCACAAATCCAGTTAAGCCTTGCTCCCCAATGATTGACTACATCAAGCTAAACTTTGATGGGAGCAGTGCAGGAAACCCGGATCACTCTGGTATTGGAGGTGTGTTTAGGGATAGTGAAGGCAGAACTATTGGTCTATATTCAGGCCCAATTGGAGTAGGTGACTCCTTAAGGGCTGCTGAGGTTATGGCGGTCATGGAAGGTCTGCAAAAGGCAAAGGAATCAAATGTAAGAAAGCTGAGTATAGAAGGTGATTCAAAGTTGGTAGTAGAGTGGTTGCAAAGGAAGAAAAGAGTTTCTAGATCTTCAACAATGAAAAGAAAAGATTCAAGTGGATGACTCAGGATATGGATGTGCGATTCAGTTGGGTTAAAACTTAAAAGGATGGCAAATGGTTTTGCTGATGTCTTAGCAAAACAAGGGGTGGGAAGGAATCATTTGTTTTGGGCTCAATTGATGGCAAATTTGTCTATGGAGAGTTAAGATTGTTTAAGATTGAATTGTGAATCTGACAATCATGGTCCACCTTTCTTCAATAAAATTTGTCTAGCAACCCATTGAATAGAATGGACTTCTCTACCTATCCCATTTTAATTGTACATAAAAAAACATAGGATCTATCTTGACCTTTTGTCTTAGATCAAATGTAGTATATTAATGACTTCCTAACACCCAAAAGGAAAAGTTTTTGGACAGTTTTGGATCAGAGAAAAAAGATGCAATGATCTGGGCATTATGGGAATAAAGAAATGCAATAATCTTCTGAGGGAAGGAAAGAAGTAAAAAACAAATTATGGAGTTTGTTATGACCAAGGTTATACATTGCTTGCAAACATTGGACCTCTTCAAATATTTCTCCTTTGATGATATCTGGAGGAATTGGAGCTTCATAGCCTTTAGTGCAGTACAAAAAATTAAAGCAAGGTCAGTTTGGAATCCTCCCATTGAAGATTAGCTAAAACTAAACTTTGTTGGGAGCAGCCAAGGCAACCCAGGTCCATCTGGCAAAGGAGGGGCTGTAAGAGACAAGGAAGGAAATTTAAGAGCCATCTTTTCAGGACCAATGAGACATAAAGACTCTTTAAAGGCAGAACTATATGCTTCCCTACAAGGCATTCAGATTGCAAAAGATTTAGGAGTGGAGAAATTGATGATAGAAGGAGGCTCCAAGGTGGTGCTGGGTTGGCTAAAGAACCCAGATTCAGTGATTTGGTGTTACAGAAATGAAATGAAGAAGTTCAAATGGCTCACACAACAGATGATTTTAACTATACAGTGGGTGGGAAGGGAGGCCAATGCATTGGCTGATTCTCTGCCATATATTTTTGTTAAAGAGTGATGGTGCACCTCATGCCTCGCACTGGGATGTTTGTAACAGATGTAATCCTTTGATTCTAATGAAAGTTATTTATCAAAAAAAATTATTCTGACTTTGCTTGCACCTTGACCTCCCCTTTCTTCATACATCTTATAACTTTAAAACTTGACATTTTATATTGACAGTGCTCCTGCATCACAATGAGTTTTGAAGCTCCCAGATTTGTTAAGAGAATGACAAATTTGAGATAAACTTTAGAGGAAATAGAAGGTAAGGAAGTGCCAAGCTCAGGCTTCATAGGCTAGCCTGTTATTTTAAGCTGGTGTCCTCTTTTTGGTCCAGTTTTCTGTAGTTCCAAAATGGATCATCAATCCGTTTGGGATGGTCCAAATTCTGAAAGTCTTGATTAGTCTCATTTGGGGTAGCTAGGTCTATTTTTTTTGTTATAATACTATATTCTATATTTTCTGCTACTCTTTTTTATATCTTAATATAAGCTTCAGAATTTTAGATATACAGTCAAGTTTTTATATTGTTTCTAATGACCATAGTTATTGTCTCAATTTTTAGATATATGAAGATCTTGACTCTGGAAAGCCTTCCCTAAGGTTACTTTATGCTACTCCAGAATTGATTGCAACAGCTGGATTTATGTCGAAACTAAGAAAGCTTTATGCTAGAGGTTTGCTGAATCTAATTGCCATAGATGAGGTGTGAAATGTTGCCTACAACAATAAAAATACTTTTAAGATTTTTAGCAGGCATTTTTAGTTCTTGATATATTAATGTACTTCTGTTTTTTTTGTTTTTATTATTTTCTCAGGCACATTGCATTTCAACATGGGGTCATGATTTCAGGTTTGTAGATAAAAACTACAATCAGTTTCCAAAATTGTTTGTGATGAAACAAAAAACTTCATTTTTTATCTTTTTGTACAACTTCTATTTCAGGTACTGTTTATAACTTCCTATCCATCTAAAGCTTTTTACATGAGGTGGCAGAAAAATGAAAAAGTTGATTTCAAAGATGCCACTTGCCAAGGTGGATAAGTCCCGGTGCAGTGGGGGAAATAGAGGGTGGTTGTTTTCAGAGTAGACCTGTGTTCATAACCCATTTTACCTCAAAAAGATTTATATTAGACCAGGCAAAGAGATGATTCATAATTCCCCATTATCCCACACATCCACATGTTTAATCAACTTCCCCCCTGTTAATTAAATATCTCCCATCAAATATCCAATGTCCTATTATGTACCTTGTCCAGCCTAAAATAAGTCAGTAACATAAATCCTCCCATTCCTCCATTTTGCTCTATCCAAGACCATACTTTCTGTTAATCCAGTGATCTTGCATTTTTCTGATAGTAAAATAAAATTTTCCAGTAAAAAGCCTGGAAGAAAAGAGCTTTGTGGCTCAAGCAAGAAAAGGTGAAAAAAAATCCATAAGGAAAAGACAGAGGCAGTAAAGAAAAAGCTATCCCTAAAGGGCAACCCAGTGCACAAGGCTCTCGCCAATGTGGGGTCTGGGGAGGGACAGATGTACACAGCCTTACCCCTGGCACATACAGAGAGGCTGTTTCCAAGATTTGAACCCTGGTCACCCAGGTTGCAATGGAGAGAAACCCAACCATTGTGCCAAGGCCCACCCTCAAAGAGAAAGCTATCCATGCCAACCCTACACAATTCCTCTAAGATGAAAAGTGGAAAAGCAAGCATACAATAACCCCCATGCTTAAACAATCTTAAAACAAACAAAATAAAAACTATCAATCTATCATGCAACACCAACAAGCAGACGGGCTCATCTACCCACTTGCATGTTCTTTTTTTTTTTGTCGGAATTGACTGATATGTGTTTATTAATATATTCTTTGGTGCCATATTATAAGAGTTCAACTATGATACTGGAAAGACGTGGTACCTGAAAAACTTGTAACTAATGAATCAGTATCATAAAAGTGGTAACCAATCAGGTGGTATTTATCAAAATTCACCTGGGGGGTTGATTGGTCAATGTCCTTCCGGATGTGCCAATTTTCTTACTTTTTAATGCATTGCAGGCCTAGCTACCGGAAACTTTCATCTCTGAGGACGCACTTCCCGGATGTGCCAATATTAGCTTTGACAGCCACAGCTGTGCCTAAGTAAGTCTCCTTGTATATTTCTTGCAGAAGAGTTGTCTTATTGTGATATAAAGCAGGGTTTTTTTATGAATTTAAATTATGGGATGTTTCTAGCATGTTTAGTTTAGTTCTAGATGAGACAGAGGGATGGAAGTGAAAAGGATCTAACCTACATATCAATTTTCTAAAAGCTCTCCCAAATTAATAATAACAGTCCACTAAATAAAGAAATTCGACAAGCATGTGCAATTAATGGAAGAAAGTTGTTAGTGTCGACTGTATAGGGGTAGTTTAGTCTTTCTATTTATGTTTAAGCTGATGTGTAATGTTTATGTTAAGTGATGTGTCCCATGCTTAAGTAGGGACATAATAGCCTTTTGTTTTATTTAATAGAAACATATAAATAAAACCTGGCCGACTAGAGAGAGTGACTTTTCTCTCTTGTTCGAACCAGTTTTCTCCTTCTCCTTTCTTCTTTTCTCTTCTTCTCTTCTATCTCTTCTAATCTTCCTCTAATAATATTTCTAGCAGAATTCTAGTGCAGGTCTGAACTTTATCATGGTATCAGTGCCACTGTGGCAAAATCAGATCTGCCCAGAATTCTGTTCTATCGCCATTCAGCCTAGGGTTTTACAGTTTTCTTCATCATCTGTTGGAGATAGAGAAAAGGGCTGAAATGGAGTGATTGCCCTTTCCCTTTGGAGGTTTTCATGCCTCTTGTCAGTGGTTTAGTGGGTGTTTGTGGTGGTTTGTAGGAAGCCCTCTAATCGATGGTACGAAGGGGGCTGTTTCAGGTGGTGTAGTGGACAGTCGAGTGTCAGGTTGGTTTTTGGTGATCAAATTGGTGGGCTATATGTGTGTTTCAGTGTGAATCGAGTGGCTGGTGAGTTGATAGTGCCATGGTGTGTATTCAGGTAGTTGTGTGGTAGTTTTGTGGTGCTGAAAGTGAAGAAATCAGCAACTGGTATTGCTGAAAATTGTGACTGTGGGTGGTTTCACTAGTATGCAGTGTGGTGAAAAGTGATTTAGAAGTTTGATATATGAGGAAAAAAAAAGGAATTCAGATATGGGAGACAGTAGTGAACACAAATCTAGTGTTATGGTTCCCACTGACTACCTGAATGTTCAGATGACTTCTATCAAGTTGAATGGGGAGAATTATGTGCCTTGGGCAAAATCGATAGAGGGCTTTCTTAGAGCTAAGAAGAAAGTGAAGCATGTAAGAGAAGAAAAACCTCCCGCTGACTCTCAGGAGTATAGTGATTGGGAACAAGAAGATGCACAGATTATGACCTGGTTATGGAATAGTATGGAACCCAAGATCAGTGTGAATTTTATGTTCCTAGATATAGCCAAGGAGATTTGGAACCATGCTAAGAAATTGTACTCGGGACAAGACAATACTACTAGAGTGTATTGGCTTTATCAGGGGTACTTTAATTTGCAACAGGGTAATGAGAGTCTTGAGGAGTCCTATTTTAGCATGAGGAGCCTTCGTAATGAGTTGAATGTGTACCATCTCCCCACTTCTGATGTTAAGATTCAGCAACAAGCTGATCAGATGCCCTCTACATCTACTGATGTCTCTGGGAAGGAGATGATGAGTGTCCCATGTGATGAGTATAAGCGGTTTATCTAAGCCACCTCTCAACAGAATACAACTACTCTCGCACATTCAGGTATGGTTTGTCTGGTATCCAAACCCACCTCCTAGATTATCGACTTTAGAGCTTTTGATCATATGACTGGGACTCCAGGTGTTTTTTCCTCCCTTTTTACAATGCTCCACATCACATGCTATTACCCTTGCTAATGGTTCCACAATCCTCCATTTGTGGTGTTGGTAATGTTGACATAGACCTTTTATCCCTGTCCTTGGTTTTGTATGTTCCCAAGTTCCCTTTTAATCTTATGTCTATTAGTAAGCTAACTAAGTTTCGTAATTGCTCTATTACCTTTTACCCCTCTTCTTGTGTGTTTCAGGATCTCAAGACAGGGATGAAAATTGGTGGAGGCCTGGAGGGCATGAAGCTGGTGGACCGTATTATCTTGATGGTGGTGGTGGTTTGTCAACAACTCTTTAGGCATCTCGTTCTCCTCTTCAGTGGCACTGTAGACTTGGTCATCCATCGCTTAAAGAACTGAAGTCACTTATTCCGTCGTTGAGTCGTCTTTTTGTTTTGGATTGTGAGTCATGTCAGTTGGGGAAACATCATCGTGTTCCCTTTAGTCCTAGGGTTGATAATCGTATGTCGAATCCTTTTTCTTTAGTTCATTTAGATATTTAGGGTCCAAATGAAATAGTGTCATACAATGGTTACAAATACTTTGTTATTTTGTTGATGGTTATTCAAGGATGACGTGGCTTTATCTAATGAAAGAAAAGAGTGAATTGTTTTCCATTTTCCAAAAAAATTATGCTGAAATTCGCAACCAATTTGGTGTACACATTAAGATTCTTTGTTCTGATAATGGTTGTGAATACTTTTATACACCGTTTTAGGAGTATTTGGAACATGGCATTATCCATCAAACTTCATGTACGTATACACCTCAGCAAAATGGGTTGGCTAAGAGAAAGAACCACCATCTTTTGGAAACTGCTCAGTCCCTTGTGCTTACATTCTTGTTTCCTCATTAGGATGCCCATGCCCATCTTTGAAGGTCATTCTCCTTTCACCACTTTGTTTCCTACCTTGTCTCCTTTTCCCCTTACTCCTAGGGTTTTTGGGTGTGTATGTTTTGTTCATAATCTTGGACATGGAGTGGACACTATTTTATTTGGGTGTGTATGTTTTATTCATAATCTTGGACCTGGAGTGGACAGATCGAAGGTTAATTGGGAAGGTATGAAATTCCATTGGAAGTTAAAAGAGCTTAAAGTTAAAATCAAAGAGTGGAATCTTCATCACTTTGCGAGATTAGAATAAAGGAAGCAATAGTTGATTAACCAGATAGAGGATTTAGATGCAAAGGAAGAACAAGGCTTCTTCGGGGAAAGGGATAAATAGTTGAGGAATAATTTGGAGGATCTTTTGTTCAAAGAAGAGATCAGTTGGAAGCAAACATCCAGACACAGATGGGTGAAGGAAGGAGATAGGAACACAAAATTTTTCCATGCTATTATGAATGGTAGAAGGAAGAAGAACTCCATTTCTAAGTTGGTGGTTGATGGTATAACTTTAACCCAACAAAACGAGATTGCAGGGGCTTTTGTGAATTATTTCAAATCTATTTTCAGGAGACTTCTGAATGAGAAATTAAGGATTGAAGGTTTGGATTGGCCCAGACTCCCAAAAGAGTTGATGGAATGGGTGGAGAGGGAGTTTGAAATGGAAGAAATAAGGGATGCCATTTTCTCTATGGATAGAGCTAAAGCCTTGAGACCTGATGGTTTCACGATGGCTTTTTATCAAGACTGTTGGGAGATAATTAAGGATGACATCCAAATTGTGTTCTCTGAATTCTTTGAGAGAGGGGTGATTAACCCAGGTCTGAACTCTACTTTTTTTTTTTTTTATCAATAACATTTTCATTAAATCATCAATAGAAGATTTACAAGAGGAAGACAAACACACTTATCTTCCAAGAGCAACAAAGAACCTCAAGAAAAGGAAAAAAAGAAAAAAACACTAAAGTTACAGCTTAGCCCAAAACAGTGAATCCCTTTCTGCCCCTTGTTTAGCTAAACCGTCAGCTAGGGAATTAGCCGATCTTTTAACCCAACATGTCTTAACTTCCATCCCCCGCCCCAGCCACTTGAATTTCCTCCTCTCATTGTTGTACTTCCATAAGCCATTGTGATCTTTAATCAACCACCCTATCACCACCTCTGAATCCCCTTCAATTATGAGTTTCCTGATGTTCAACTCCTTAACTTTTCGGACTCCTTTCATAACTGCAAAGATCTCAGCTCTAAGGGAGTCACCCACTCCAATTGGGCCTGAGAAAATGGCAGAAATGACCCCATTTTCATCTCTAAAAACACTCCCAATCCCCGATTGTCCCGGATTTACCCTACTACACCCATCAAAGTTTAATTTCAAGAATCCACCAGGTGGAGGGGTCCAAGCCACACTCATTACTGACTTGGTCTGTGTGCAGTTTGCAATTTCACCCCACTTCCTCAACATGTCGTCCACAGTGTAATCTGTGAATAGCTCCAAAGATTTCAGCCACTGTACCGCCCTAATATGTATGATAGCCCTCAGATCTGCTGCTCCTCTCTCAGCTTCTGAGAATATCCTGGAGTTTCTTTCTTCCCAAAGTGTCCAACATACTGCAGCCCTTAGTCCTCTCCACATAGTCCTTCCCCTTTTTATCCACCACCTGAAAAAAGAAGGGGAAAAAAGGCCCTGCAAGTCTGATGGAGGATTCCATCTACATCCAAAAAGGGAGAAAGCCCAATCCCAAATTGACCTCGCAAAATGGCAAGACACCAGTAGGTCTAAACTCTACTTTTATTGCCTTAATTCCAAAAACGGAGGGAGCTTATCACCCTAAGGAGTTCAAACCCATCAATTTGGTCAATAACCTCTACAAAATTATTGCTAAGGGTCTCGCGTAGAATTAGAGAGGTTCTCCCCACAATCCACTCCCCTAACCAAGACGCATTTGTGAAGAACAGACAAATTGTGGATCAAATCTTAATAGCAAACGAGAGTGTGGAAGATCTAAAAAGAAATGGGAAGAAGGGGTTGGTGTGTAAATTAGATCTAGAAAAAACTTATGACTTGGTTGATTGGTCTGTGCTGTTGGAAGTCCTAGGGTCTTTTGGGTTTGGGCAGAGGTGGTGTAAATGGATAAAGGGGTGTATTAGGACTTGCCACTATTCCATTCTGGTGAATGGTAGGGTGGTAGACCATTTTCCAGCTACTAGGGGTATTAGGCAAGGGGACCCCCTTTCCCCTTTTCTATTTACCCTGATTGCTGAAGTTTTGGAGAGGATTATTGAGAGGCCAGATTCTAGAGGTTTGGTAAGTGGCTGGAGAATTGGGAGGGACGGGGTTCCGTTCACTCAT